TTCCTACACTTTGACATGAGTCTGGGGTGGTTTGGGCTGAGATCTTACAACAAGGAGACACAGTATAACTTAACGTTCATGAGGAATAGGCTCAAGTCTATGAAGGTTCATGCTACCAGCTTCCCTCCACCTTATGACTCCATCTGAGGAAGTAGACCTAGTCTACAAAAGCTCTTGCTACCAGCTTCTTTCTTTCAGTTAGTCTCAGAGGTGCGACAAGATCCCTTTGCACACTCATGTAGCAATGGGAGAATGCAGGACTTTAAATGATGACAGTGACAATGATATTTGGACCCCCTGTAAAATTCTGTGGCCATGTACAATTGGGAACTCATGTGGGAAGTCCATGTGCCCAGCCTCATCCCACCCCACCAGTCCCCTATCTTGTGGACAGGACGAAGCACCTGTTTCCATTCTGCCCTGCTCCCAGTCTCTTCCATGGCAGCCAAGATGGCAGCATCCACACTCAGGAGCCCCGTTATAGTCCATGCACCCAGCCAAGCTCCCAATGCAAATGGTTTCTCCAGGCCAATAGTAAGCTACTCTGTGGATGGTGAGCAGTCCCACTTTCTCCTGCTTTGGGTTGGTCTTGTTCTTAGCTCCCCAAAGCTCCTTAAAGACCCAGCCTGGATGCTTCTGTGATAGAAACACTAAATCAGAAATAAGTAGGTGCCAAGCCTTTGATGTCCACTAAATACTGGAAGATATCACCTTAGTCTTGGCAGTTTGACTTTAAGACTCTTAGCTTGTTTAAGCGGGTTTAACCTCTAATGCAGTGAACATCCTATTCTTTCTAGGGCTCAGCGGACCTTATACTTTCCCTGTGGAAAGCAATTGGCCTTTCACTAAGTTCTAAATTAAAATCTTTTGTTATTGCTGCTGCTGCTGCTGATGTTGCGTGCCTCCAAGTGATTTTGATTTATGGAGACTAAGATGAACCTATCATGGTGCTTTCTTGGCAAGATTTCTTTGGAGGGGATGGCCAAGTGGGGATTTGAACTCTGGTCTCCCAGTGCCCTAGTCCAACACTCAAACCATTATACCATGTTGGCCCTCAAGTCAACTCTAGTGCAGAGTCAACACTTGGAATGCATTCATTGGTTTCATCAGGACTCATTTTTGCGGACATACGTACACACCTTTGAACCAAGATCTCGCCTCAGGTTTGTGTAGTGTAAACGTTTGTGTATGAAGTTACGCATTGATTGTGCTACACAACACTTGTACTGAATGGCAAAGTTGCACAACTGAAGGCATGCCTGAATGCATGTTCCACTTCTGCAACCATGAATATGGATATTCTGCATGAGACTAAAATGGCCAGCCGCTTCTGTAAGGGAGCATATGTATGCATGCAAGCAACACCTGACCACGCTCCGAGGCTGAAACCCAGTTGTTAAATGCAACAAAAGCAGACACACTGAATTCATGGAAACGGGTTTCAATGTTTGTGTCATTTCCACTGATTCAGTAAGCCTACTCAGCTTGACAACCAAAGACCATCATCACAATCATCATAATCATCATCTATGGCTGTTGGGAAGTTGCATCATCATAAACTGACTTACAAAGATGTAAAATTGAATTGTTCTGCTGTGTAAGATTTATATTCTCTAGAGAGGAGAGGTGATGTAACACATTGCCCCATTATGTGTTCTCACAATTCACTAGCACAGTTGAAATGAGAAGTGAGTCCTCTTTGGGTTCAGTCTGTCAGCCAAGTACAGATCCACTTAACTGTCTAGCTCACACTTTACCAGATTACCTGCAAGATTATTTTAGGGTACCCAGGCTGACCAGAGGTCCTCCTTTTCCAGGGTATGCCCTAAATTTCAGCCTTCTGTCCAGGAGGAATTAAAAAATGTGCTAATTTTGAGCATGACTAAGAAGCATGAATTTATATTTATATGTGTGTTTTTGGCTTTTTTATATGGTTATGTCCTCCAATTTTCTTAAATGTCCTACATTTTGCAGTGCCTTGTCCCCCTTTGAGGTTGTGATATCTGGTTGCCCTGTTGGGTACCTTGTCAAAAGCTTTACTGAAATCACGGTATATTACATCCACTGCACTCCCCTGATCTACCAAGCTTGTAACTCCACAAAAAAGAGAGAGATAATATTAGTTTTGCATGACTTGTTTTTTGAGAAACCCATCCTGGTTCTTAATAATCACAGCATTGTTTTCTAAGTGGGCATAGACTAGCCGTTTAATTATCCATTTTAAAACCTTTCCTGGTATCAGTATCAATAGTTGCTTGGGTTCTCTTTTTGACCTTTTTTGAAGATAAAGAAAACATTTGCCTTCCTCCAGTCTGCTGAGACCTCTCCTGTCCTCCAAGAATATGAGATACATCTGCAAGTTCCTTTAATATCCTTGGACGCAGTGCATTGAACTCCTCCTTAGGCTCAGTGTGTTGACCCACCATCAGCCTCTCCCAAAACATATCTCCACAAGCTAAGAGTCTTAAGACAGTGACCTCTTGAACTGGTAACACAATTTCCACTTTTGGGGCCAAAATTTCCATCATTCCCCAAGCCCTCTTTGTGAAAAGAGTGCGCTAATCATCTTTGTTCTGATGGGACCTGAATGGGCATATTGTTTTTTAATGAGTCCCTACCTCAAATAGCTTATTAACCTCCAGAACAATCTTTTCATCTGAGGTGCCCAAACAATGGGTTGCTATTTGCCACCTTCTGAAATGGCAAATGTGACAGCCAACATTTCAAAGTGAAATGGGTGAGAATGGAAATTCTTCTTTTGCAGTCACTATTCCCAACCTTATTTATGGAGGAATGTCATTGTCATGCAGACAGTCTCCATGGCAGCTGGTGGCTTCCTAGTCAATGGGGTGATAGAGCCACTCCAGCTTTTATCCCCAACTTTAAACAACTATCCAAGTCTCTGAATAATAATAATAATAATAATAATAATAATAATAATAATAATAATAGATTTATTTGTATCCCCCCCATCTGGTTCAGCACCATGGATAGCTCCTATAAATTTTGGACTAAAATCCAGAAGGTATTCTTCTCTCATTGTGTCCCTTTTCCCATGGCTAGAAGCCTGACCAGGCATGGATTGCAGGCTATTTACATTGGCACTGCAAATATATTAACCACTTTGTTCCTGCCGAGAGTCAGGATGGGACCTCCAAAGAGCAGAGGTTTAAGTAAGTAAGCCTTTCCCAAAAGACAGCATCCCTGGCAAGGATTCTTCTTCTACTCCTAGGTCTCTGGTTGGTTTTCTGGAGCAGGCCAGGTGGGAAATATGCTGCCATACCTGCCTGGCCTTAAACCTCTTTCCCTTCTTCATCCAGTGTCTCCAGCTGCAGAGCGACTCCGGTATATCCTGGGAGAAGATGACGATCCTCCCAACCCCACACTGTTCACCGAGATGGACACTCTCCAACATGATGGGGAAGAAATGGAGTGGAAGGAGTCAGCCAGGTACAACTGTCCCCTCCCTCCCAAAAAAAACTCCAACGTGTGGGCATAGTGTCATCTTTTATTGTTTGCACCATGACCGTTCAAGTCCACAAGGTTTTGTGGGAGGAAGGCCATTTGGTTTTCCCCATCGCTTTCCTGTCCTGTGGCTTACCTGAGACTAGTGGATGAATGTGACAAACTGGGTCAAAACTGAGCAAGGAAGTCCAAGGCATGGAGAAGTGTTAAGTCAAGATATAGTCTAGTATGCGCCAAGTAAACAGCATCCCATTGGGGTAAGCGCACTGTGCCTGGCAGACTAAGTAGAAGATCTCCTGTGTTGAACAGGACCACAGGTTGGGTTAGCAGTCTACCATGCATGGTCCCTTACAATAGCTGCAGATTCCTGAGCTGGCAGAGGGTCAGTCTAGATGGGCCTTGGAGTTCCTTCCAGCACTGGAATCAATGCCAGAGAGACAGCATTGCACAACTCTACAGGCAGCCCCCAAATTAGAATTAAGTCAATGTAGGTGTTGGCTCTGTTGGCAAAACAGCCTCTCACAGTCAGCCAGGAGGCATTAAAACATAAGAGAGGTAGACTGGTCATGGTGGAAACATCCATGGGAGATGCCCATGGGACTCTGTCAGGCTACATTTTGACATGAGACATTAAAAAGAGTGATGCAGGTTTGAATCAGGGACAGAGATGAGGAAAAGAGGAAAGGAGATGAGGAACAGGCCACTGGAATATGCCGTCCTACAGAGAAACAGAGAAAGCTGCATTAAACTGGGTCAGGCGTCAGGATCCCAACATACGAAGCTGTCCTTACCCTGAGTCGGACCCTTCATGCATCTAGCCCAGGAGTGTCAACTCTGCCTGGAAGCTGCAAGGCTTCCATCAAGATATTTTCCTCACAGCCTTACCTGGAAATTCTGCTGAGAATGAAGATGGGACCCTCTGCATAGTAACTTCCCTTGCGCTGCATCAGAACCATTGCTCCTTCTTGGTTAGCCGATGTAGAGCATTGGTTCTGTTGGCCAAAAAAATGGGAAAGTAAATGTCTGAGTTACTGAAGCAGGAGGAACAACCATGAGGCTGTTGATGCATCATCCTTGACTCCTCCAAACTCCCTGGGCAGCCCTTTTTCCCCAAAAAAGGGGAATGTGTGTGTGGCCATGGATTGCTTCTCTTGGAAAACACAAGGAGTAACAATTGGCTGTTTTAATAAGTTGCAGGAGACCCAGCCTGCCCTCTTTAACAAAACAAAACAAAACAAAAGCCTAGATCCCAAATCCACTTCATCTCACCTGTGGATTAATTACTGTGGTGTGTTTTGATGGTAGTTGTGTTTGACATTTGGAGCAATTGTGTCCCAGTGACAAAGAAAAGGATGCTGGAGGCAGCTATGATTGCTGTTGTTGTTGTTGTTGTTGTGTGCCTTCAAGTCATTTCCGACTTATGGCAACCCTAAAGAGAACCTGCCATGGAGTCTTCTTGGCAAGTTTCTTCAGAGGGGGGTTGCCTTTGAGGCTGAGAGAGTATGACTTGCCCAAGGTCACCCAGTGGGTTTCCAGGGCCAAGGAGGGATTTGAACCCTGGTCTCCAGAATTGTAGTCCAAAACTCAAACCACTTTGCCATATTGCCATTTGCTCAGCAAAAGGGTTACTTTTTTCCCTCCTTTTACTGAGAACTTATAAAAACAGGTTTTTTTGGAACCTCCAAGATTTTAATCCAAATATTAAAGAAAGTTTTAAGATATCCCCCTTTTATTGAATTATGAGCTTACTGAAGCTTTTTCTTTCTTTCTAGACCAATTCAAATCCACATGGAATTTTCTCTTTCTGGCTGAGACTTTCTGAGCATTAGCCTATTATTATTTTGCATTATTATTAGTATTAGTAGCTTTAGTATTGACTCTCACATTTCCAGCACAATAGGGAACCAATTGAGTCAGGAACTCATGGTGTGGTATTATTATTATTATTATTATTATTATTATTATTATTATTGTGGAGCCCCAACTGAGCCTCTGGGTCAGGATCTGTGTGTGTTTGTGCCATTTCTAAAGCAGATCAATGCCGTGAGGTCAGGCAGTTAATAATATAGATTTTCTTCATCATCGTTATTATTATTAACTCGCCTGTCCCTCTGGCCCACATAATGACCTTGTCTATGCTGCACTCTCTGGGCTGGGAAAGAGGAGGTCAAGCACAGGAATGGACCACGGCCACCAGATTCTCCAGGGATGGTGGTGGACACCACATATAACCTTCTTTGATAGGAGAGCCCCATGGCTGGTCTGAGCTTGACCTGTGTCCAGGTCAAGCTCATGCATCCTTGCTGTCCTAGGCTGCTGCCACACTGCAAAATTAATGCAGTTTAACACTGCTGTAACTGTCATGGCTCCATCCTATGGCATCTTGGGATTTGCAACTTTAACTGCTATGGCTCAATGCTGTGGCATTCTGGGATTTTTAGTTTTGTAAGATATTTAGCTTTCACTGTCAACAACAAACTACAAATCCCAGGATTTCGTAGCAGCTAAAGCAGTGCCAGACTGCACTAATTCTGCAGTGTGGCTGCAGCCCTTCTCAATGCCTCAGTACCATCTTAAGTGACAATAGAGTAACATCTGAGGCAGAACGCAGGCCGGTGGCTCTGACAGCTTCACATGTTTTCCTCCTGTATGATTTGTAATGTCTTTCACTGATGAAGAAGCCAGTGGAGCTTCGAAAGCTTGCATGATGCATTTTCTGCATTTTGGTTGGCCAATAAATTTTGTGGATTTTGTAGCCCTCCAGTTGTGGTTGGATTGCAACAACCATCCTTCTTCACCATTGGCTATACTGCTCAAGGAGATGCTGGGAGATGCAATCCAACATAATTTCCCCAAAATTTCCAGCCCATCTAAAAGGAACAATCTGTTCCCTGATTGCTAAGGAAAACAGAACGCACCCTCCAGTTTGCTTTGGTTTTACAAGAAGGGCAGCATTCCCATTGAAACAAATTTCCAGTTATTGGTTTTAGCTGAAATTCAAGCCTATGGGACCCCAGAAGCTGGGGCTAAAGCTAAGGTTTCAAGATTACCACAGTCAACTCTGGAAATGACTTGAAGGCATACAAGAACAAGGGAAGGCCTTCCCCTTCCCCGGTGGGTCTTAAAATGTGGGCAGGAGATACAGCGGCAATAGGAAGCAGCAAATTAAAATACCTAGTAAAATAGTAAAATGCTGGAAAAGGGTTCTGGAGAACCAAAAGTTCTTTGCTTGGTGCAGAAAAAGGGAGCCAAATGGAGTTTACCCTTGAATATATAAATTAATGGGCAGATAATGATATTGCTCACCTTCTTAGCCCTTTGGTGAAGTCGAGACCCACAAAAACAGAGCTGTGAGCCAGCATGGGGCAGTGGTTTGAGGACTGGACTATGACTCTGGAGACCAGGTTCGATTCCCATCTCGGTCATGCAACCCACTAGGTGACCATGAGGAAGTCACATTCTCTCAGCCTCAAAGGCAAGCAATTTCTCCTCTGAAGAAATCTAGCCACAAAAAACCCATGATAGGTTTGCCTTGGGGTCACCGTAATTTGGAAGCGACTTGAAAGTACACAACAACAATAACAACAACAATTTCTGGCTTAGTGCAGGCCTTATCTTGGCTGCTTGATTCCCACCACTGCAAGACTAGACTTCCTTGGGTGTAAACCCTTATTGAACTCCATTGGTTTTACTCAGAGTAGTAGGCCTGTAGAGGACCGAATGGTCCATGTGTGCCCAGAGCAGCGTTACTTGTGCCTTCTGTGCATGTGTCCCTCAGCTCCTTGCATTCACAGCTGCTTCTCTCTCTGGATGTTATCACACGCGGCGGCAAGAAAGCGGCATGGAATCAGTCCAGAACCATACCGGAATAGACCCCGTAGCTTCAGACAAGAAAGCTGCATCATTCCGGTATGGTTCTGGTCACAGCAGATGTAATTCCTCTTCAAAAGAGGAATTGCAAAGAATGGGGATGATGCCTCAATGCGCCGGGGATGGGACTGGATGGGGCAGGGTTTGCTGCGACGTCGTTTGAACACAGGGGCAAAAGATCCGGAATGGGACAGGGATGCGCCGGGGATGGGACTGCTTTAGACCCCGTGTGATAACGCCCTTTCTCTATCTCTCTCTCTGTTTCAGGTGGATTAAGTTTGAGGAGAAAGTGGAAGAAGGAGGAGAGCGGTGGAGCAAGCCCCACGTTTCCACCTTGTCCTTGCACAGTCTCTTTGAGCTCCGCACTTGCCTGCAGACGGGGACCGTCCTGCTCGATCTCGATGGCTACTCCTTGCCGCAGATCATAGGTACAAACCACAGGGACCAGAGCTTGGAAGACACTACTTAGGAATAATAATTTTTGTCGTGTACGTGCCTTCAAGTTATTTCCAGTTTATGGCGACCCTAAAGCAAACCTGTCATGTGAATTTTCTTGGCAAGATTTGTTCAGAGGAGGTTTGCCATGGCCTTCCCCTGAGGCTGAGAGAGTGTGACTTGCCCAAGGCACCCAGTGAATTTCCATGGCTGAGCAGGGAATCGAACCCTAGTCTCCAGAGTCGCAGTCCAACGTTCAAACCACTACACTGTAGCATTCTCACATTCGTATTTATATTTCATATAACTTTCAGGCTATTAAAGTTCCTTTTGACCAATGCAAAAGGAGAGTTAGTTTTTAAAACGTGCACATAATAGTAGTTAACTACTCTGAGGTCCTTGAATTAATTTTTAAAACAACTTCCTGGCTGTGATGGCGATCAATAATGGTAGGCATGATCTATCAAAAAGTCTCCTGCAGAAATGAACGAGGGACTCAACAGTTATTTTGGCAAAGAACCCAAAAGCCACCTGCTTCACTTTCTCTGTTGTTGCACTTGGCTTGAGCGTTTAATTTCTCCAAGGGAGCCATGCCTTGTCCTTCGTTTCGCTGGGACCTCATTGACCATCATCCTTGGTCTAACTTCCATCTGTTAGCTACTTCTTCTCTACAAAAGCCCAAGAAGGTCTTTCTGTAGCCAATGCCCCTTTTCTGTGCAAGCTGGAAATTAATGGTGGGCTACTGGAGCAGTCTTATTTATGGCTAACAATATCTCCTTCCTTCAGACGACGTCATTGAAAAGCAAATAGAAGATGGACTCTTGAAACCAGAACTGCGGGAGAAGATCAGCTACGTCCTTCTGAGGAAACACCGGCACCAAACCAAGAAGCCCATCCACCGCTCTTTGGCCGACATGGGCAAATCCGTCTCAAACACGAGTGAGCGTGCTTTCCTGTCTTGTGCAAAAGCGGGGAGAGGGAGATCAGCCCTTCACAAAGAAGTTAAAAGGATTTTAAAAGAAAAGTTGTGGCCACCGGCAGCCAGGGACTCCCATATCAGTGGGATGGAAAATCCTCTCTGGGTTTTAGTCAGAACTTTAAAGGTGTGGACCTACTTTGGAAATGGAGTTTGGCTCGTTCAGAGACCTATCTGGAAATTCAGATTAAAAGCCAGAGTGGATTCATTGATGCACTGAACTAAATCTCCTGCACCATCCCACTATCCAGGATTCCATGATGGAGAAAAGTTAGGATATAAATTCAATGAAGGATGTGGTTCATGTCAGGGCTATAGAGTGCCACGGGTGTAGCCACACTGCAGAGTTAAAGCAGTTTGACACCACTTTTAACTGCCGTTATACAGAATCCTCCAGGATCCTGGGATTTGTCGTTTGATGAGGCACCAGAGCTCTCCAAGAGACCAGGCTGAATACCTCTTTGTGTAGGTTTGGCACCACTTTAAGTGCTGTAGTTCCATCTCACGGAACTCAGAGATTTGTAGTTTTACAAGGTCTTTAGCCTCCTCTGCCAAAGACTCCCATGAATCCCATGATTCTGTAGAGTGGAGCCATGGCATTTAAAGTGATGTCAAAGTGCATTACTTCTACAATGTAGATGCACCTCAGGACACTCCATGGAGCAACCAAGCTTTGGGTGCAAGCATTATTGCCTCTCCATTCTCTTTCCCAAACTCTTGCCATGATGGTTCTGTTTCAGTCCTTTTCTTTCTGTCCATAGATCGCAGTCCAGTCCGGAGCCCAGCGGCAGGAGCCAGCTTCCACCGTTCTTCCGAAGACCTCCGAATGAGGCAGAGTGCCAGTTATGGACGATTACGTGAGTTTTCCTCCAGATCCCAGCCGTCGCAAACAGGAGACACTTTGCACACCACCAAATCTGCTTTTGCATGGAGCTGATTCATAGGCTGCTCCCACGCTGCAAAATTGACACTCCTTTAACTTCCATGGCTCAGTGCTATGGAGTCCTGGGACTTGTAGTTTGTCATGGCACCAGAGAGCTCTGAGAAAGAAGGCTAAATATCTCACAAAAT